GGGCGCCAGATAATTTTTAGCCGGAATTATCAAACTGGAAATGCACGAATTTCGAGTCCAAACACTCAGAAAATTCCTAAACGACAAACCAAAAACGACGAGAACTAGATTTTTGGGGAAAGGTCACGGTCCACGGGTCGTTCAGTATGCTAGGTTGTGGAGAGAGGGATGAATTTCGGTTGGAAACCAGGTTATCGGGAGATCAAAAAATCAAGAATGATGGAAAACACATATTTTCCTTACATGTTCCACTATCGAAATTCTCAAAAATAAATAATTTCCATACCTTTACATAATTTCCAAAAGAAACGAAAATTCTCAGTAACAATCATCGACCTTCCACCGAATTTCCAAAACGTACCCAATTAATGGCCGTGAAATCCGACTTAATATGGAGCGCTAATATTTCAATTAGACCTAATTGATTTCCCGTGAGATTAACAGTAGGGTAAACCCCATAAAAATTACCGGATGACTCTAAAATATCGGCCCTTCTTTGCGATAATTTTATGGGCCCTCAAAAGCAACAATCGAACGATTCAAAAAAAAAATTCATCAGAACTCTTCCCAATTATTCAAAAAAATATATATATCATAGTCCTCTAACTGTATTTAATAAATTCACCGTACCAAAGTGGGAAAGCCTCAAAAAAATCCAAAAATCTTCACCGGAGTGGGAAATATCAAAAAGCTCTCTCTCTCACTCGAATTTTTACCCACGATTTACTGGATTATACCGCGGGAGTTGGTTGTTCATCAGGTCGTAATGGTGTTCCTAACGAACATCCCCACATGTTCGTTACAATCCCCATAGTAAAAATAATTTTGTATTCCTTGTGTGTTCCACATTAAATTTTCTCTAATTTACATCACCTCCGTGAAAGTTTTCACACATAAAAAAATACCCTAGTCGTAAAAGAACGTAATCTGCTTTCATCAAAATTTCCACCTCCCCCAAAAAAACTCTTCACAACCGACATTTTCCACCTCACAATATTTCCCATAGAAACCAAATTCGACACTCTTACCCATCGGATTCGTCCACTCGACCCTAATCAAAGTCTCGTCAATACAATCCCTTAGGGTCTGTCCACGGAATGATCGGGCGGGGGTAATCGTTCCATTACAGTCTCTCGTCCCTCGGAATTCTCTTTTCCCCCAAAACGAACTTCTTTTGAAAAAACATTGTCGTTCGTTACACGCAGTACAAGTCACTGCCACTCTTGCAGAGGCATCGGGTAATGACCACTGAGGATTTGCGCAATGCACCACTGTCTATATTCCCCTTCTCCCTCCTCATCGCCACCAGTTCCAAGTTGAGAGTGGCACGTGTACGCGTCGTTATCCGCCGGATCCCGGGGAGTTGAGAATGAATGGCCTCTGATCAATCAATGAGATATTTTTCTTTTTCCACTTCCACCCAGGAAAATCCCTTCTCCATCATCAATGGCAGATCCACTGTGTGCCAGGGACATTATTACAACTAAAAATTGTACGTTCATTTATTGGGGTGATGGTTAACAACCAAGGGGCAGAGGAATCAGGCACGTTGTATGGAATCAGTTAAGCGTGTTGGACAATTATTCGTGTCTGGTCGGCCGTGTAATGGCTGTGTGCGCCCTGCAACTTCATGGGTATAACTGAGGGCGAAATGCGCCTACAACATTCGTGGTTTAAGCTCCAAGAAATTATACCGTACACAGTATACAACATCCCTTGGGGATATTTCGCGAGTTGAATGTGTGGGATTTTTTGTTCATTATTCCTTCCAAATCAATTGCCACCGATTTGGGGACGGTCTCAGTTTGAAAGGATTGCATCATCCATGCTTAGCTATCGGACACAGATGTGATGACTTTTTTGGAGGGATTTTTCAGAAGAATATTTATGGGGGAAGTGCATACGGAAAGGGTTGAATGTTTTTGGCGATATTAAGTGGAATAGGGAACTTGCATAGAGTCCAGTTTTCGAATATGATCAAATGAATAGTCTTTGTAGTTTATGAACCACTCCAGAGTAAAAAGTTTTCCGCAAAGTGGTCTGGATATTTTGTAATATAACTGATTAAAAATGCATCAATCACCGACGTCGGTGGCCGAGTGGATTAGACGCAAGTCTAGTGTGCGAAAGGTTGTGAGTTCGTCGATTCCCCGTGGAACTGAATTTTTCAACGGAAGGCTCCGGCGAGCGGGAGGTTGCTAATAGAGGAACTGTCTGTACCGGCCTGGGTTTTCTATGGTTTCCCCATGCTACTTCTATGTTCTATAGGAGTGCGAATGCGGTACAGTGTAGAATCCACAGCCGCATGCATAGGGTTGGATAGAGTGCCGAATGGGACCCGAAAAGGCACTCCGAGGCCGTAAAAAAAATGCATCAATTTTGAACACTTTTTTTGGGGTCGTGACGTCAACTCACCGAAATCAAGTTCTCTTTGCGACCACTGGGTACGCTATTGAGTTATTTTAGCCTCTCAAAGGGCGGAACATTCAACCAAAATAAATCGAGGGGGCTATGTTTCAACGAATTATTAATAGTGGATGAAAAAATGTAGTGGCGATAACAAATGAAATTTGTGTTGAAATAGTATATTTCAGGGCGAGTGTCATGGTTTTTTTTTTACTCGCGTGGAGTGGGCGTGCGAGCCGAAGGCGAGGTCTGCCCAAGGCCACGATTCCAGGCCTCCGCATATTCGTGAACGATATTTTTCCATAGTGACACCCAAAAAAAGTACTGATTCAAGTGGACGTCGGTTTGATTCTAACCGATTGTGTGCTTGATTCAAGCCGAGTGACTCGGACTCCGCCAATCCGAATTCCGGGCCTAATATAAGTCGAAAATCAGTTTATTTCACGTAGAAAGGTATCAAGCCCCCATCGCTCGTCGATGAGTTTTTCAAGGATATCTCCGAAACTAAAAGAGATAGCGAATTTTTGCTGAAAAATTGCGGAGGGGGGGGGTTCTCTATATTTTTGATTGTAAATTCTCAATGCACAACCTTCCCGGCTCTTCCCCCCCAAAATTATTTAGTAAAAACTCGCTATCTCCCTTAGTTTCGAAGGTATCCTTGAAAAACTTGCCGACGAACTAATTCGTCTATGGAAGGGGAGGGGGGGTTGTATATCCAGAATTCAGTACATCTCCCCCTCCGCGTATGAGGCTCCTCAAGGGGAGCTCATCGACAATGTACATCGAGAATTTAGGGACAAATCGGCTTGAATCAAACCGAAAAATCGGTCTAAATCAAACCGAAAAATCGGTCTGAATCAAACCGAGAAATCGGCTTGAATCAAACCGAAAAATTTATCTGAATCAAACCGAGAAATTGGCTTGAATCAAACCGAAAAATCGGCTTGAATCAAACCAAAAAATCGGCTTGAATCAAACCGGAAAATCGGTCTCAATTAAACCGAAAAAACGATCTGAATCAAACCGAAGTCGGCCTGAATCAAGTCGAAAAATCAACTTGAATCAGATCGATATTCTGGTTTGCATCTGTCAGAGTCCGACTTGATTCATGCCATGAATTCGAAATGAAACAAGTCGATTCCCCGCATGATTCAGTCCGACTTGATTCTGACCAATTTTTCGGTCTGATGCAGACCGAATTTTTTTGTGTGCGATTTTCACTTTTACGAGTTTGGGGAAGGGCCAATACCAATCCCCGGACGAGAAAAAGTGAAGATTAGTACGAAAAAATTATTTTCAAAAGGCGTGCTAGGGGGAATTTATCAACGGTAAACGTGACTATGTTGATAGATTTTATTGGTTCAAATCTACGTCAAAGTGTTGAAAGTCGTGGTTATATAATTTTCACTGTTGTATTTTTACATCCTGGTATAGAATAATATTTATAAGGAACTTTCATCATTCGATTCGGTTTTTCTGACATCTTGGAGTCAAATATAGCTAGAGAGTATTTTCTTAGATTCCAGCAGTTATACTAAACCGCTTGATGGCGCCGCACGAAAATTCCGACGCTCGGTGAGTTAACGTCACAGGCTTTTTTAAAACGTTAAAAAAAATTTTAAAAGCAAAAAAAAAATTATTAAACTATTATCCGTGTGTTTCTTTATCAAATATATGTTCTTGGGGGGGCATGTATTTGAGGGAAAAGAACTTTTAAATAACATACCAGTTCTCTATTCAGAACAGAATTCAATGGTTGGAGAACCAGTTTCGGTTGATGGGTGATAACAGGAAATCGGTTATAAATAAATTCAATTGTTTTGGATAACTCACTGGTCAAAAGAGATGACGAGAAATTTGTAAACATGGCCAGATGTGAGTAACCCCAGAAAATATCTGCAAGTCGTGGATCACTCTGGAAAAAAATGATCTTTTCTTCATAAATCCAATTTCGTATCAAACCATCGTCTCCTATCCCTCAGAACCATGGTCATAACCGTAACTCCCCTCTGTATATAGGGGAATCTATCGATCAGAAAGTGAAATTCGTAAACAGTCAATCATTTTTCCCAGAATCTCTTGTTCTCATTCCCTCGCTTCCTCGTATATTGTCATCAGTACAATAATGAACCAAAACACGAGAGTACGTAACCACTTACATGATAGTTCTATTATTGCCTCGAGTACCTCAAAGACAGGCTGAATTTACTCGGACCCGGATAAATCTCAGCTAACCGCGCCACACTGATATTGCATAACGAAGGTACAACGACCAACAAAAAAGTACCACGAAGGCGTTTCATGTAATAATTGGATGGCGGTGTCCTTTCATCCTTCCTGGCCATCTCCATCCGCTCCCTGCATTTCAAAATGAAAAAAACCCAAACCTTTTCACTCCAACCACTCGATGAGCACCATTGTCCCATCCTGAAACCATAAAAAGAAAAAGTTCATTTTTTCATCCCCCAAACCCAAAAACTATCTGAGGATCGAATCAAAGCATTCAAAGGAATCATAATCGAGGGAAGAAATCTGGATCGATTCGAATATTGATAAAGTTAACGTTTTCTTCTTATTTTTTCGTGTTCATGCAGGTGTCCTCGATCAACAGGGTGCTGAGAAACTTAGCTTCCCAGAAGGAGCAACAGGCAGCGGCTGTTCAGGTACATCAGGGTGCTGAGAGTGTTTACGATAAGTTGAGGATGTTCAATGGACAGGCAACTGGATGGCCGCCAGCGTGGTATTCAGCTACACCCTCTCATCATCCACTTGCGGCTGGAATGCCAACAACAGCGGGACCTGGATCAGGACAGTCACTTTTACCTGGTGGACAACTTCATGCTCGTGATGATCCACTCCTCAAACGTTCTGGTAAGTTCAATCTTGCAATTATGCGATTGCAGTCCCATCCCAGTGAGGTAACAATGGAACGAGTGACATTGCAATAACTCTAGAAAAGGCAAAAGTATAACTGCACCTTTTACATACCCAGCAAGCGATATCCCGTCCTGAACGATTTGAATTTTTACAATTCTACCGAGAGGACATGTATTAATCACAAAAATGGAAAAGCTCTATTTTTTTAACCTAATATAATCACCAGTCGAGAAATTTTCTACTATCATGAATTGATCAAAAATTCGTACCTAGGAGATGATTACATTAAGGAATGAATTGAATGTTGTTTTCTCAAATGCCAGTTGCATCGCCCCAGTTGCAAGACGTAATAGGAATTCAATGCATTGTCTTCTTCATGGAATACTGGATACAAAACTGATGATCGAGGATCTTGTGTTATGGATTACTCATTTCTGAGATGAATGAGTAATAAATATACTTTCCTCATTTAGTTTATCGTACATTATTTCGATTGGACAACAAAATATAGATGAAGAAGGTTATGAGAAAAATGTTTCAACGGTAAAACCGTTCACCCGACATTTAATATTCCGTAGAAATCAATTCCTTGTCGATCGAGCCTTTATTCGGCTTTTCTCATTTCATTTGTCCGATTTTTTTTTGTTGCATTGTGGGGACTTTTGTAGGATGTAAGCCTTCTCCACTCCCACTCGTGACTTTTCTCGCCTCTCAACAATGGAGTCTCCATATTTTTTTGTAACTGACGCAACGGTGTATCACTGAGAGTTAAGCCCCAGTACGAAGTAGAATTTCGAGTGTACCTGAATATATCCACTCCTTCTCTTCCCACGTTTTCTTCATCTCTACCCCAATGTTGCTGGCGTTTACTATAATAGGATCACCGAAATCGTCCAAGCGGCTCAGATTGCGGGCGCAGATTGGCCCGCAGATGACGACTCCAGATGCGGATGGGAGAGAGTAGGCCTTCTCTTGCTTTTGCCTTATTCCAAAACGTTCAATAGGCAGATTAACTGTGCGCGCGCCTACAGAATCACTTCATGCTCGATGGGATTTGACAATTTAGGAGTGGGGGAGGAGGGTCTTTATGGAATGTTCTTCTTCAGGGGCAAAAAAACGTTGGAACGTCGGCTCTCGACTGGAAGTGCGTTCCGCCGAGTATTTCATGATTTTAGAGGTGATTTTTGGTTTGTAAAAATACAAATTTTTACTTTATCTGATCAGTTAGGAATCTATTGAAAAAAAATTGAATACCATATTCTTATAGAGTAGTTTAATACGCTCTGAGTGTCGCTGTAAACTTCTTGATGAAGGAAATGGAATTATCTAAAACTAATTACAAAGTTTACCATGAAGTTTATAAAAATGGCAACTGCAGAAAAGAAAATAAAGTTCTTTTTGAGAAAACTGTTGCCATTCAGTAGAAAAAAAGTTACGCTTTAAAGACTATATATGTATTGAATTCTCCACCTCTTTTCATGCGATATCTGGTATAGGGTCTTGATGAGTTTACTGAAACAACATTAGTTATTATAATATCTCAGGAAAATCTGAACCACATGGGCTGTAATTTCAAAAAAATAACATAATGATCCGCTTGTAACAAAAACTTCCCGGGCACTTGTTATTATTCAAGGATGTTGCATCCGGTACTAATGATTATTATGCATGTTGGGCTTTAAGGAATTGATTCCAATAATCGTGGCTGGGCAACTAAATATGAGAGTTTATTACTCGATTATAATCAATGTCATTGTATTGATTGCAATGAATTACGACTTTTGTATGTGTTGGAGTCCAACTCTGCTTTGATGTGTGCAAAGCCAAATGACTTCTTAAATAATACATTAATTATTTATTCAAATTAAAGTGAAGTTCTCGACCGCTCATTTTCAATTGTTAAAAAGTGGTTTGGGGCCATATTTTGGTCAGCGGCAGTCAATATGATCATAAGAATTTATTCAACAAATTGCACAACGCTTTGAGCGCACAGGGTGCTCCTCATCAGTTTTATTCTATATCAAGAAGACAGACATTACATTTCATTTGTAAACTATTGGACAACTATTATCACCGAACGCTATTTTACATGCCTCTGCGCGGCAAATTCACTTTTTCCGCGCAAGTTAGGTTTTTCGCGGGCGTGAATTTGCCACACAGAAGCATGAAATAGTACATTACATGCCCGAGCCTTGGGAAACAGATCACCGTTCCCCACGTGCAAGATTGCCTTCCGAGCCGAAGGCGAAAATGGCAAGCACGTGGGGGAGGGTGATATGTTTTCCATGGCGAGGTGTGTATATTAATTTTCTTGTCGAGGGACCTGCAAGTCCTTTGGGACTTTCAGGTCCCGTGACACGAAAAATATCCTACAAGTCATGCACCGTAAAAAAGATTCCCTGACGAAATGAACTTCACCGTCGCTCGCCTTCGGGTCGCGCGGGTAAAATTCGTAGGAAACATTGATCGACATCATCTAAAATGATACCACTAACTTTAAAGACAAGAAAACTTATGTCATCAAGTATCAAACATATTCAAATGTGTCAGAAATAATTAAAAACCTAGCTCTTCGTGGATAATTAATCGTGCAAAATATTACATTACTAAAAAACTCAATTATAAATGAGAAAAGGAAACCTACGTGTTTTTGTGTCAACAAATAAAACTGGTGGAAGTCCATTTGAAAAGATGAATGAAATAATCAGGGTTATGGGTCACATGGGGATGTAGATATGGCGAAAACTAGATGGCGCTCATGACTAGACACAATATAGTGAACTCACCTGCCTCGGGTTTATTTGCCCAGTAAAATTTAGATGTCGCTAGTGATATCATTTTTACCAAAATCATTTCTGCAAAATTTAAAAAATTCCACAAATAAATAAATAAATCCATAAAGTACTGGGAGTAACAAAAATATGCGAAGAGGAATTACGCCTAATTTGATCGATCTTCGGTGTTACAATATTGTTATGCCCGGAGAAATTATTAGCGTCGGAGGACTATCTTTCTAATTGCTTAGAAAGAAAGCTACAATTATTAAAATTGAAATTTCTTGGACAACGCAAAGTTTATACTCTTACCTTTTCAAATAATCAATTGCAGCTCGATTTTGACGGAAAATATTCAAGAGAAGAGAATTCTGTTCAGGAATAGGGCTAAAGTTAGGAATATTCAAGAATCAAGAAATCTAGAGTTGTATTGACAATTCTATTCAATTTTCATTATAAATTTGAGAATTCCAACAACATGAGTCTGCAATTTACAAAAGTTTATATGTAGTAAATTCCAAATTCCTACCCCTGGAATGATTTGAAGGATCTAAATTTGTTTTTATATCACACAGTTTGTTACTCACAGTTCAGTCTGATTTTTACAATTATATGGGTTTATTTGTAGATCCTTGGCTGAATCCGCAATTTCCTCACCAGCAATTAGTCGTGCTAAAGACTATTATGGATACTTTTACAGAGACAGTTTCTTCTACTCATTAGAATCATTTAATAAATTTGGACAATTGAATTTTAAGAGTTGGTTTGAGACTGTCCACAACGCGTCACAATAGTCGAACTCCTTATATGTAAGAAAAGTCACCGCTCTCGATTAAAGAAATTTTATTGCCGGATAATTCCAATTGTTCGTAGCCTACTATTAATTCGGCAACTATCCAGTGTAAGTTCAACTCTGCGAATTATTTTCGGAGGAAAGATTGAAGAACCGGACCGATTAAGTGAACTATTTCCACCAGAATTGTTACTGCTCCGTCGCTGCTTCAAGACTGAATAATTTTTTATTTTTCTGTAATTTTTATATGGTTTTGAGAGCCCTTGACTCGTGGGGGCTCCAACGAGTCAATTTTTAATTGGTGGAAAATGTTGTATGATTTTTCCCACTTTTTAATTATCATCGAGGAAGTAGTTCACTCGGTTTTGGGGTTTTTGGTTCATCGTTTCTCAATCATTCCTCCACGTGCGAATCTTGAAATTTACTAATGAGGGCATGCTGAGTGAGATATTTCGTCACGGTTGTTCTCGATTCCAGTATCTTTTGGAATATTTAGTCGAGTTCAAGTAACGAAATATCTCGCTTAATTATTGAATGTGTCTATATTTCTATTTTTAGTTAATTTTTGCATAAAAATGTTGGACATTACAATATATTCACAAACTGCAATGGATACTCATTATAATTTCGAATCCCTTTCATGAATGCAACATTTTTCAACACGAACTCCTCGTTTGAAATTCTAAAAATTCTATCCGTGAAATTCTTGGCCAATTTTATGTGAGATGGGATGACAAGAGTTAGAGTTAAGTATTCGGCCGGACCACGTCGAAATATGGCCCGAAAGCACTTCCAACAATTAACTGTTTATGTTTTGGCACTTGGTTGGCATAATCCAGTTACGCCTAATGAATATCACGCTGACAATGCTGAATATGCGTATATTCAACAATAACGCAATTAACCAAATCCGGGGCCTAAGGGAGAGTTTCACAGGTTGCAATGGAGCATTCGGGAAATGATCTCAAATCAGTTTGGACTTTCCGGAGTGCCAAATAACCATTTCCTCTTCAACATTTTAATAAAAATGTCTCAATACAGACATGTATATTATTTCTATTTGTCTACACGACAAATACATCCAAAAATAAAAACTTGATAATCGATCAAAGTTGACATTAGTTGAGAACGTACGATCGAGAATATCATTTTGGTTTAAACTTCATGATGAAATTAGGATGGAAATCTACTCATTTCAATACAGAGAAAAAAAGTGGATAAGCTTTAGAAACTAGTTTCTAGATTTTAGAAACTTCTGTTCTAAAGCTTTATCCTTGGTGGGATCATAAAAGTTAAACGATTTGGGGATTGTTTTTAAGAATAAATATTTTCTAAAACCAGTGCTGAATTTTTCTTAATTTTAGAAAATTTTCAGATTGAACTAAAAAATTGCAGCCGAAGTATTTAAAGGGCGCAAGTGCCCCATA